AAATATGCTTGACCATAAAACAAGTCTCAAAAAATTTCAGAGGATTAAAATCTTACTGAATATGACCTCTGGCCACAATGGAACTTAGTTTAGAAATAGTAACATATAGAAATAAATAGCAATTATATCTTTCAATAGATTTAAAAAATTACATTTGGAAATTAAGTAGTTCACGTGTCAGTGGAGAAATCACAGGGGAATTAGGACATGTTTTGAACTGAATGGTGACACAAATATCCAAATTTGTCACACGCAGCTTAAGCAGTGTATAGAGTGAAATTTATAGTTCTGAGTGCTGATACTAGAAAAGTTTAAAATCAGTGATCTGCAGAAAAACAAGAGCAAATTCAACACAAAATAAGGAGAAGCAAGGAAATAGTGAAAATCAGTGAAATAGAAAAAAATACTAATAGACAAAATCAATGAAATCAGATGTTCTTTGAAAAATTTTTAATAGAATTGACAAACCTCTAGCTAGGCTGATCAAGAAAAAAAAANAAAAAAAAACCCAGAAAGCTCTGATAAGAATGAAAAAGGAAACATCACCACATACTATAAAGACTTTAAAAATTTAACAGGAATATTATGAACAACTTTATACCAATTAATTTGACAACTTAGAAGAATGGACAAAGTCCTTGAAAGACACAAACTACCAAAATTGCCACAAGAAACAGAAAATCTGAATAGCTCCCTAAAATCAGAAATAAGACATTCAACATTGTATTGATGGTCCTAACCAATGTGATAAGGTAAGAATGAGAAAAGGCAAAACAATTGGAAAGGAAGAAAACTTCCTTTATTCACAGATGACATGATTATATGTAAAAATCCTAAGTAATCTACAAATGTTACTAGAATAGGTAAATTTAGCAAGTTCACAGGCTTTAAATTCAATATACAAAAAGTAATTGTATTTCCATATTTGAGCAGTAAATCATTGTAAGATGAACTTTTTTGAAAGTACCATTTACAGTATGAAAAATAGTAAATGCTTAGGAATAAATTTGAAACAGATGTGCAAGCTTCTACACTGAAACTACAAAACAATGCCAAAAGAGAGAGGATCTAAGTAAATAAATAGATGTGTTATGCTCATGGGTTGGAAAACTGAGTATTTTTAAGATGCCAGTTCTTCCCAATTGATTTTTAGACTCAGTACAATTCCAATTAAAACCTAGAAGATTTTATGTTTTATAAAAATTGACATTCTGGGAGGACTTTATAGTATCCGATTTCAAGACTTACTATACTCATATAGCTACAGTAATTCAAGACAGTGTGGTATGAGTGTGAGGATAGGATAGACTAAATAGATCAATGTAACAGGACAGAAAGTCCTGAAACAGATCCACCCATTATGGTTAATTTTTTACAAGGTTGCCAAGGTACTTTAAAATGAGAAAAGGATAGTTCTTCCAATAAATGGTGTTAGAATGACTAGATAATCATATGGGAGGGGGGGAATAAACCCTGACGCCTACTTCACACCGTATGCAAAAATCAATTCTAGATGGATTACAGACATAAGGTTATATAGAATAAAACAGAAAATCTTTTAACTCTTGGGGTTAAATAGAATAGAAAACATCAAATATAAAATATTGATAAATTGACCTTATCAAAATTTAAAGCTTCTATTCATCAAAAGACATCATTAAGAAAATATCAAGCCACAAAGAGAAATATTCTCAATACACGTATTTGACAAATGACTTGCATCCAGAATGTATACAAAAGTTCTATAACTCAATTGTAGTTATCAGAGAAATGTCCATTAAAACCAAAAATGAGACATCACTACACACCCATTGGAATGGTTAAAATGGAAAAAAGACTAACAATATCAATGATTGTAGATAGGAACTACCTGAACTCACATTCATTATGTTCATATACTGGTAAATATCAAAACTAGTGTAGGTAGGGCAGTCTTCCTTAGAAAGGGACCATGGGCATGACAGAGACCAACGTTAATCTGACCATTACATTCGTCACCTGTAAAGTTGAGACCATATATGTTTCATTAGCTTCACTGGCTAATTATGTGTAAAGCAAGACCATTAACAGACTCAAGTGACTCCATCTCATCAATAAGCCCTGTCAGTTCTACTTCTCTGGTGTCCCATGTTCTGTCTAGTGTCATACCACTATTGTAATTTGTGTTTATAACCCCCTATACTATTTAATCTCTTTATCTTGTCTATAGAAATTGTAGATTGTATCACACCATTTCATTCTAGGAAGGCCTAGAAGCTGAAAAATTCCATTTCTTTGACTCCCTTGCAGCTAGAGTTCTACTTACAAATTGCCAGAACTTTCAAGTAGGTTACTTAGGTGCTGGCAAGTAGATGCACTCTCCCAAGATTTGGAAGGTGAAAGTGAAGTAGAGTCCAGCTTCCTGTCTCTTTTGCTGTTTCTATTTACGTTTGTAAATATAAGAGCTATGGAAATATGAATCCCTACATTATTGTTCCATTCCTTGTTCTGCAGACAACTAAGCAGCTATAGTGATTCTTGATTGGAGTTTCCTTCTCCCTTGATCATAGGTCGGATGTATTCTTAACACATAGCTTCAGTGAGGCCTCAGAAGTAGGAGCTACCTGAGTAGGTAGGTTTGTTCTAAATTGTTCTGGAAGTTTCTCTTAAAAGCCAAGACTAGAACCTACTCCTAGTCTAATCATTTTAAGCATCTAATTCCCTGTATTAAGTTCTTTCCTGCTTAAACTTAATAGTGGTTTCTGTGTGCTTCAGTGTAGATATGTGTGCTTCAGTGTTTGAAATGTCCATTTCCTAGTACGAGGGTACTTCAAAAAGTCCATGAAAAGATTCATATTATCTTTTATTTTCCCATAAACTTTTTGAAGTACCTCATATCTTACACAGAATTAACATACTGATTTTGAAGTCCCCATCCAGAAACTGTCAATCACTTCCCCACTGCCTACAGAATAAAATCCAGAACTCCAGGCCTGACATTTAAGGTCTCCCAATTCACTAACAAAGATGATGCTCTATTTTAAAGAAGTGCTGTTCCCCTAGTTTGGGAGGCTAGCCTGTACAGTGACAGATCATTCAGTTCCATGGCTTAGAGCAGTAAAATACATTGAATTTGCCACCCCACATCATCACCTTATAAGGGAAAGCAGGCTGACTGGATCCTTTATGCTCATGAATTCAGTCAATACCTTGACAAAAAAGCAAAAATGTTCAAAACAGCAGGTTATACAGACAGCTTTGATAAACTTGAGGGAGGAGACTTTACCCAAGTCTCAACTTGCTGCAATCTCTTAGAAAATTTGGGTCATGATCATCATTCAAATAACTAAATGTAGACTTCCCATTAATGTGACCAACCACAAGCCTTCAGTTGTGGAATTAGGAAGATGTTGCCGGACACGAAAAAGACAAAAAGGAAAAAAAAAAAAAGTGACATACATAGGAATTAAAATACGTATTAAAAATACCTGGAAAGACTCACG